CATCAACTTTCCACACCTGTGGATATCTCACACTACATCAGAAGCTAATATGCACATGAAAAACGTTCTCAAAACATTTTTACAAAAAGGTGTGGATCACTGGCCAAAATCTCAAGTAGTCGTCCAAGCACAGAATAGTTGAAGACCATACCTCATCTTGACTTCAACTCTAGCTCCTCTCCCACCTAACACCTATCTACTGATGTTGCTGATGATCTACTTACACATAGCATAAGCAGAGAAAAAGGATAAAGAGGGTCAGCTCATAGCTGAGTGAGATAATCATAGCATCGTGAGTTCATAACAGAGCATACCCCTACCATACATCTAGCAAATAAGCCCAAGCACTAGGATCAGACCTCAGCCATCCGATATCCCAATAGGCAAAAGACTCAACCACCTTGACTCATGCATATGCATCTTATCATGTTTTACTTATAGGCGCCTGGCTACTCCCATGCTAATTACTCTCCCGGGAATACGGACCAAACATCTCGTGGATGTGGTCATATCGGACCCACCACTGCCGGTGTAGTCATATCGGACCTGACACCACTATGGGTGTGGTCATATCGGACTCAACACCACTCTGGGTGTGGTCATATCTCATGATGAATCAACGGTCAACACCACATCAGGGGTGTGACATAACATATCATAACGGAGTAATAGCATGGGGAGCCCTAATTACTATGTAATTGACCATGAGACCAAATCACTCTTATTTGGTAATCTTACACATGATTCATATCTCATCTTGCTTAATCATAATTCATTACTTGGACATGTTCTTGACCTGACCACAATTGGCTCAACATAACCAGGAGTCGTATAATTGCACTTCCTCGGGATAAACCCTCGTGCAAGTCATCCTCCTTAAACATCATAATATCACCCTGGGAAGTTTATTCCCCCACTTATGGATCCAAATACAACCATAATATCACATCATGTCAAAACACCTTATCGAACAAGCAGGAAGTCATATCAACAGTTAAGCCACAAATGGCAACTTGTATGAAATCATCAGCATAAACAATGTCCATATCAATTAGGGCAAGTCAATTATATCATACAACAGTCCAGGGTTCAACATATAGCACAAAAGTTCATACACCCCTAATCATGCCATTCTAGTTCACCTAGGTCAATTCTAAGCATCAATATAATTATCGTGATACGACAAACCCGGTATGCCGTGCTAATCCCTCACCAGTTCTGGTCGTTCAAACACCAGTTCTAGCCTCCCGTACTAAAACATCAATTTCACGAACGAACCCCGAATTAAAATCCGAGACCGTCCTAATATCCCCTGCAGTATCCCCGTCAATGTTAGTACTAAGCTCTGGATCAAATTCTCGATAAAAACACATCAAACCCTGACCGGAGCTAAATTCAGCGATTCCGGCTCCGACCTAAATAATAGCCGAAATTCATGGATTAGAACCAAAGGATTAATTACCTCGCTGCAGGAAGCTCATATACGAATTCTGGGCTCAATCCGGCTTCCGGATACTCCGAAACCCTAATTTGCCTTATCGGGAATTCAAGAAATTCCTGAACCAAAAACTCGTTTTGAAGCTCTAAATCGATAAATCACGATGTATAGATGAATTAGGCATTACTTACGGGATTTTTGGATAGTTAGAGCTCAAAAATCAAGCTCTGCTATTTCTCTCCGAGTGCCCTGTGCGCGCTTGGTTTCTCAGCTACGGGTTTGGAAATGAGAAAGGAAAAGTGATAATGGAATGGGAAGGTTTCTCGTACATATATATATGTGTGAAGCGGTTCCTCCCGCTTTTAGCTTTCTGTCCCATTTCTTTTTGCGACACATAGCGGCTAATTAATATATATATATATAATTAATATGTATTACTATATTTATATATAGTAATTGATAATTATCCGATTGATCGATAATTCGATTGTCGTCGAAATACTATCAAAACGCTCGATTTTAAATCGTGAACTTTTCTAGCGATCGAAATACGATTTTAGCCGAAACGGGATGTTACAGTGTGGGACTTGTCAGCAGTGTAAGGTAGAAAATATACCATATCCTGGGTTGCTACAACCACTTCCGGTTCCTGACGGTAGTTGGCAGCAGCTGTCCATGGACTTCATTGAAGGGTTGCCAAAGTCTGGAGGTAAGGAGTTGATATTGGTTGTGGTAGATAGATTTACAAAGTACAGCCATTTTTTTGCTCTTAGTCATCCCTATACTGCTGTGTCTGTGGCTCAAGTATTCTTTGATGGGGTACACAAGTTACACGGGTTGCCTAAGACGATTGTAAGTGACAGGGATGCCGTGTTTACAAGCGTGTTCTGGTCTACGCTATTTGAGCTGCTGGGTGTGCGATTGCATTATTCGACGGCCTACCATCCACAGACGGATGGGCAAACTGAGAGAGTGAATCGTTGTTTGGAGGAGTATCTACGAGCTATGGTGCATCACAAACCTCAGAACTGGTCCACTTGGCTGTCTATGGCAGAATGGTGGTACAACACAAACTACCACACCAGTCTTCGCACAACTCCGTTTGAAGCGCTCTATGGGTACTCCCCCTCTCAGTTTGCACTCCAGAACCCCTTGTCGACTTCAGTAGCTGCAGTAGCTGATCGACTTAATCAGCAGCAACAGATGGTTGGTATTCTAAGAACTAATTTGGCGCAGGCCCAGAATCGACAGAAGCAGATGGCGGATAGGCATCGCACGGAACGAGAGTTGCAGGTGGGCGATGATGTTTATCTGAAGTTGAGACCATACAGACAGAGCTCTGTGGCTGCTAGGGCAAATCGGAAGTTGGCTGCTCGGTTTTATGGGCCATTTAAGGTGATTCAAAGGGTGGGAGCAGTAGCTTATAAGCTGCAACTGCCCGCAGGAACAGTTATACATCCTGTTTTTCACGTTTCCTTGCTCAAACGGGCAGTGGGAGATCAGGTGTCTGTACAGCCATATTTGCCGGAGATGGATGTTGAAGGAAGTTTGAAGGTGGAACCTGCTCACATTCTGGCCAGGAAGATTGTAGCTAAAAACAACATGCCTGCTACTCAAGTCCTAGTGCAATGGACACATCAGAAGGAGGAAGATGCTACTTGGGAGTATCTTGAAGACATTAAGATCAGATTTCCTCAGTTTCAGACTTGAGGACAAGTCTTTGGCAAAGGGGAGGAGAGTTGTAACATTCGTGGTTATTTGTAATTGACTAGTAGTTTGGGTACTTAACGGAAATTGTACCTTGACTATAAAAGGGCCAAGTCAATAGCTTGCAGGGGTATCGAGAAATAATACAGAACTGAATTTCCCTCCCTTCTCATCTCTTCTTCCTTCCTTACTTTCCCTTTCCCCTCGTTCTTATCCTCTTCTCTACTTGTCTTCCTCTCCAAATCCGTCGAGTCCAGGTCCAGGCATAACAGTCGATGGTTTTCGAAATGTTGACATCCATCACATTTTCATTGTAGGCAAATTTTTGTGTCGGCTTTTGGTGAGCGTAGCATGATTTATTGATTTTTTGTGTGATGTAACTAATACTTTTGATCATCAATATTTCATTTAGTAAGGTGGCGTATCAAAATCATGTCAAATCGAACACAATAATTTTCTTAGAAAAACAATTAGCTCGGAAAAAGAGAAATCAAATTGCAAAGAATTGTAATTGATCACCAAGTACAGTATTTTGAGTATTTGTCTGATGCAGCATGGAGATAAGCTGTATACAGTTCTTGTAATTCTCGGATGATGTTGTTTGGGAAACAGGGAGATTTGTGGATTTTCGATTGCTAACCGTCCACTCAAATAGTCATCTAAGAACGAGAAGACAATGTATGGTTTACGTTCTGACAACCATGATTACGTAGATTCGTTACGACGTAAACAATTGAATTCGAGAGACCTAATGCCAAAGGAAAACAATTCTTTTCTTGGTTTGACACAAACCGCTTGATCGAAAAACCAATTCAAGTTAGCCATTCGAGCCGACCTAATCGTAATACCGAAAACGAGCCATGAACTCATTCCCTTCGCTACCCCCTACTACAATCCAACCACTCAAATCGATGTATCATCCATTACTTTTGTGGATGATTCAACTATAACTTTTTTGATCATGAATATTTCATTTTATCAAGGCGGGCATATCAAAACCATGTCAAATCGAACACAATACTCGGAAAAAGCAACTAGCTACAAGAACACCCGGTTACAAGAATTACAATTGATCACCGAGTATTGTATTCGTAGTATTCGATCTAATGCACCAGATTCCAATCGACCCATTAACCAACTCTAATCCTTCACTCCAATCACGGTCCAACCTTAAGGATTCATTACCATTAGAATACAACAATAGCCCTCTTTTTACTTCTTAAACTTAGGCTTAATTGCAAGTTTGGTCACTCGAATTGCTATAAAATTTCACGTTTGCCACTCAAATTAATTTATTCCATTTATAGTCACTCGAATTAGTTAAACAGTTCAAGTTCGGTCACTCTCCGTTAACCTCCGTTAACTTTGACTGACGTGGCGGTCAACTCTGACAGTTGACCGTTAAATGTGTGACGTGGCAAATAAAAAATAATTAAAAAATAAAAATTAAATTTTTAGAAATTACACATCATTATCACAAAAAATTATAATTATAAAAATGAAAAAAAGGAATAAGCCGGCGACGACGCGGGCGTTGACCACAGCAGCAGATTGTTCCGGCCATCTCAATTTCCTTCACCGCTTCTTTCGTCAGGTTCCGAATCCCTGTTTCCAGCGAGCTCGTTCTACACAACGTCGCCTGCATATAAAAACAAAAAATAAAAACTCAACGGAGCCGGCGACGACGCGGGCGTTGACGAATTCGGCCCCGGCGTCGTTGCAGTCGACGGCGAAGGCGTCTCTGTACGGCCCGCGAGCGGGTAGTAGACGTTGAGGGTTTTGGCGAATCAGCATCATACTAAGTATGTTCAATCTATACTTCACATGCAGTCGCGCGCCATGCATCCCTAGCTTCTCAGCATACGACCCCGGAAAAATCATAGTAGTAAATGCTGAGATCAGCTTCCTGCTCCTCCTCACGATAATACTGCTGATAATGAATTTGATGACGAGATTCCGATGAATAATTGGTGTCAAACTCAAACACCAGAGGGAATTCTTGATCCATATCTTCCAACAAAGCCTCCAGGTCAGCCTGACACGCCAGCATATCATTCGATCTGGTCTCCTCCAAACTATACAACCCCATCTGGTCGTCGTAGTAACCATAGGGCTGGAAACTGTTCATCTCTTCCTGGTTAAACGACGCCGTCCCGCTCGAATCAACCGACGACGCATCCACCGAAGTCGTCGTCACAATCGTCTCCACGCTCTCACTCTCAGATTCCAATACCTCCCGCTGGGAGGAGACCGGATTAACTGCCGCCACGAGGGCTGCGACCGGAGCTCCGTTGCCGGTGAGCTCCTGGACAAGCGTCTTGAAGTTGGAGATATCGGTGATGTACACCTTGGGCCGCAAGATCGGACGATGATCGTCACGGTTTATTTCTTTTTTCATTTTTTATAATTATAATTTTTGTGATAATGATGTGTAATTTCTAAAAATTTAATTTTTATTTTTTAATTATTTTTTATTTGCCACGTCACACATTTAATGGTCAACTGTCAGAGTTGACCGCCACGTCAGTCAAAGTTAACGGAGGTTAACGGAGAGTGACCAAACTTGAACTGTTCAACTAATTCGAGTGACTATAAATGGAATAAATTAATTTGAGTGGCAAACGTGAAATTTTATAGCAATTCGAGTGACCAAACTTGCAATTAAGCCCTTAAACTTATATAGAAATTCATTCAAAATATTATTAATTACCCAAAGAAAAGAAGAAAAAAAACCCAATTATGGAGGGTAGGCCCTAGTGAGTTTTGTGGGTGTGGCTGGGAGCTGTTATGGTCATTCCAATTCCGGCTGTTTGGATTCCTATAAATCCCCCCTCCTACCAAATTCAGCGCTCTCTCAATTCCTTCCTTCCTTCAGTTTCCCCACTTCACACTTCCTTCCTTGCTTACTTACTCTGCCTCTCCCTCTTCCCTTCCGCACGCTCCTTTCCTTTTCCCCTTCACTGATTCCCCTCCCCTGTTCCGGAAACCGACGGAAACCCACCGCTTCTCTTCCTTTTCAGGCGAATTCCTCCGGCGTGGCCTTGGCCGCGGCCGCATAAATCTTTTCCTCTTTTAAGCCCCCCCTTAAAAAGCCGATTTCTTTCCTTCCCTACGCTTTATATATTCCCCCGTTACCTTCCTTTATTCACTCCTAAAACCTCTCGAACTGGGTTTATCTCTCTCTCCCTGCCCCTTTTGAGGCAGAGTAATCCCGCAACAAGATTTCCGATTCACTAACGATTCACCTTGTCAATCACGACTCTTATTCCTCCCGTCCCTCCCTACTTTTTTGCCGCTTTTCTTCCTCCTTTTAATCCCCTTTCCTTCGATGCCCGGAGAGATTCCCGAACCCAGAAATTGAAAAACAGAGGAGAAAAAAAAACAGAGTACCCACAAGAGAGAGAATCCGAATCAGCCATGGACGGGAGCTTTCTCTGTCCGGCGAAATACACGGAGCACAGAAGCTCTACCCGGAAGTACACGGCGAAGCCGGCGTCGTTGAAGCGGAAGAAGGCGAATAGCAACGGGTCCGGGTCTGTACCCGACCCGACGACACCGGAGCTGCTCCACCCGCCGAGGGTTGTCCGGATATCGGTGACCGACCCGGATGCGACGGATTCCTCCAGCGACGAGGAGGGGGAGTTCTTCGGGAGGCAGAGGGTGAAGAGGTACGTGAGCGAGATCAACATCGAGCCGGGGTTCAACGAGGTGAGAGCGGCGGTGGAGGTTGGGAAGCCGGCGAGGGAAGTACGGCCGCCGCCGGCGGCGGCGGCGGTGGCGGTTCAGGGAGGTGAGAGGAAGTTCAGAGGCGTGAGGAGGCGGCCGTGGGGTAAATGGGCTGCGGAGATTCGGGATCCGGCGAAGAGGGTTCGGCTCTGGCTGGGGACTTACGATACCGCGGAGGAGGCGGCGATGGTTTATGACAACGCCGCGATTAAGCTCCGGGGACCCGACGCGCTGACGAATTTCGTCAATCCGGCTGTGAAGGTGGAAGAAGCAGAGGAGGATAAACATCAATCCTCCGGTTACGACTCCGGTGATGAGTCACACAACAACAACATCGCATCGCCTACCTCTGTTCTCCGATTCAGAAGCCAATCCGCTTCAGAGTCCTCCGAGCCGGAAAACAACAAGCCTATTCCTCCGACGCCGATTTCAATCGAGCCGGAAGAGCCGATGTCTCTGCTTCTCGCCGAGCCGGTGGGAGAAGACGAGGCGACAGCTGGACTCCAATTCCTCCAGGAGTGCGAGGGCGAAAACAGCGGCGGCGGCAACCTCTACTCCTGCTCCGACGACTACTTCGACCAGTACCTCATCTCGCCGGAGCTCTCGTTTTTAGAAGACTCTTCTTCGTCCTCGCCGTTTGTCGCCGACGATTTCTTCAACTTCACCGCCTGCTGCTCCTCGCCCCCGACCAACGAAATCGTCGCCAGCGGGACCGCGCTACTAAAACAGAGCTTCTCCGACGGTGGGTTCTGCGACGGCGACATTTTCCTGCCGGACATCACCCAAGACATGATTGTTGGATCCGCCGCCGCGGCGGCGGCGTCCGCGTTCCAAGAGAACAATGACGACGACTATTTCCAAGACATTGGTGACCTTTTCTTCTCGGAACCTCTCGTGTCCCTTTGAGAAACCCAGAATAAAAAAGGAAGGGAAAAAAAAAAACCCGAGTTGTTGTTGTTGTAACAGTCCTGCCGCCGGTTGGTTGCCGGTAATCGTCGGCAAGTTTTGTTCAACCGGCGGTGAAAAGGGACTGTAACGACTGAGTGATGATCGGCTATAGCTAGATTTTTTTTTTTGTAATTTCTCTTTTTTTAATGATTAATTTGTTTATGAGTAAATTAATGTCAGTGAGTGAGGGAGTCACCTCTCCGTCAAAGTTAACGGAGCGGGGTGACGGTGAAGTTTTGTTGAGATGTTTAATTATAAATAAATATATGTCAAATGCAGAGTGTATTTATTTATTTACTTACTTACTTGCTATCATTTATCTCTTGATTATTTTACTAAGTACGTGTTAGCGATAGTAATTAGTAGAAATGCCAAAGGGAAAGGGCTGCCAGGGTGGCATTCTTTTTGCCGCACACGAGCAGGCGCGATTAGCGGTTTGTGGCCGGTCGAATGAGTCAAGTCGGTGTCGCTGCTCGTGTGTGTGAATTCGAGACACTCCCATTAATTAATTAATTAATTTGTTTTTTTACAATGTAATTAAGAAGATTAATTCGTATCAAGATACTCCAAAATTAAGGCTGACTGTTGACTAAAAACCCGTGGGTACGAATGCTACGCTGGAAGCCCGCCTCTCGTGCTGCCCCAAAAAAATAAAATAAAAGCCTAATAATAATTACAAAATAAATAAAAAGAGAGAAAAAAAAGGTAAAGAAAGGCTAAAAAGGGAGGAATTTGATTTTTTTTTTTCCGGTAATTAGGAATTTGATTTTGATTCGGTCTCTTTTGCTGAAAAGGAAAATTTGTAATGAATGGGGGAAATTAAATTTTTATTTTTATTTACCAGTGACCTTTTAGTTGTGGTGTGGAAAATTATTGGCCATGAAAAGTACTTGAGTACGGGGATTATTTATAATAATAGTGTAACCGGTCAAGTGTTAAATGTGTCGTACTAAAATTAAATGTAATCCTACAATTATTTTACTGGACGTGGGTGAATAATTATGTGAAGCAAGTGGGGTTAAATACTTAAATTAAAAGGCTGGAAAAGGTTAAAGAAACCGGGAAAAAGGTGAAGACACGGAGTTTGAGAAATTGGGGGTATCGGGAGAGAGTGTGGAAGTAATTAGGAGGACTAAATTGTAAAAAAAGAAATGGGTGATGAAAAGTAGGGGTGGCTATACGGTCCGGTCCGGTTAAATTGGCCCAAATTGATCCGGTCCAGTCCGGTTTTTTTGAAAATATAAGGACCGAAGATTGGATTGGATACAGTCCGGTCTTGATCCGGTCCGGTCTTGACCCGGTCCGGTCCCAATTCGGTCTTGATTTTATATTGAGATTGTGGGAATCTGAGTGGCCCAAGGCCTAAAAGGGTGAGGAGTTGGTTAAGTTTTGTACTAAGTGCAAAGGTTTGTGACCGTTTATGCAAATTACCCTTAAGTTTTGGGTGTTGAGCTCTCTTATCCGGTCTTTATCCGGTTTTTTACCTCAAATCTAAGCCCAAAGATTGGATTGGATTGTTTACTATCCGGTCCCGGTCCAGTCTCGGTCCGGGTTATACGGTCCGGTTTCCGGTTTTTCATCCGGTCCCGGTCCAAATAGCCAGCCCTAATGAAAAGAGTGGCCCTGCATCCTGCCATCCTGCGTCGTCGTTCAACGATGACGACCGACCAAAACGCACGCGGGTCGCAGCTTTTTTCATGTCGTTTTAATACTAGAAACTTGGGCCCCGGCCGCTAGCCAGCCAGCTAATTCTTCAATATCATTGTTAACCTAATTCCGAGTGTCAAGATCTACCTACGAGACATTCTGATCTTCCACATGACAGATTAGTCAATCTCTCATCACTTACATACTAGAACGACACTCGAATTTTGGAGAGGATCATCGATAACTTATGCCATAATACACGAGAGGTGGGTGAAACCGTGAAGGATACCGATTACCAATAATCTAAAGTTCCGAAAAAAATTTGGATTGTTACTGAAATTTTAAGATGGCTACCGATAACTTACTTCGATGATGTACGAGAAATTGATGAAAGACGCGAATTATCGGTAACTGATTCGGCGTTACGGTGGAAGGTGGGGGGGACCCTATAGCTAGGTCACGTTGTGATGGAATTATCAGTGATAGTACTGAGCAGAGATACTTCTTTGCTTTGCGTTGCCATTACTCAAACAATGAACATGGGGGATGAAGATAATATTAACATTCTGGAAAAAGAGAAAAAAAATGGACACAAATTGAATAAATAATTGGGGGAAAAAAAAAGTGGAGAAGAGGTCCTTCCATAATTATTTCCGAACTAGGAAGGACACTTGTCTTGTCTCTAAGAAATTTTATGCGTCATTTAGCGGTCCAATGATCCCATGTCCTGCCTGCCTGCTCCTCCCTTTGTTTATTGTTCACTCAATTACATATACTACTAATAAATAATAATAATAATAATAATTTTGACTTGAGTTTATATGGGTAAGAAAAAAAACATTATTATGAGACTAACTAGCTAGAACAAGTGAGGTATTTGTGTCGTTCTCAAACTTCAATGGGGTCATTACGTGTGTGGAGTGAGTTTCAAGCAACCATTACATTAGTCACTAAATCTTTCTTTCTAATTCTCATTCGTTCTTTTACAATTTAGTATTTGTGTTACATGATGACCACTTTTTTTTTCCGGCTTAGTCACTCAGTTTACAACTTCGGGAGCAAGAAAATATACGACATATTAAAAAAATTGAATGTTGTTTCTTTACATGCTGTTTGCAGTGAAAGATCATATCAACTCGTTTGAAGTGAAGTTTGCTTATGATCATCATATCCAACGTGGCTTATGATCTGCGGTTACTAATCGATATTAACAACTTTTAAACACAAATGATTGCATAGAGAAAAGGGTAGCATGTCCGTACTTTGAAATTTCGACGTTATTTTAAATTTTGGACATTTATAGTTGGTTTAATTTTGATCGATATATTTTATCTGAACCATGTTGAGGCGAAACTGTTAAAGTAAAATTATGAGTACATAATGGATAGAGTTTTGGGAGCTAGGTAGGGCAATTGTTAAGAGGAAAAAAGGTGATTAAGCCATGCCATGAGACAATGTGATTGGAGGGTATCAATCAGTATGTTAGTGGGCCAAGAATATCCTTAAAAAATCTAGGCTTAAGATATACTACTTGCTTCAGTTCTAATCAAACCAAGAGCAAGACATGCACGAGATGGGTATTAATCACAAAAAAGCCCTCATAATTGTGTCCCAAGAAACCTCTCTTCTCTCTCATAACACAATACAATATATATTAAGCTATTAATTTGAATTATTAGGCTATTTAGCACAAGATATCATATGTATATGTGTGATTGTGTGTATGTATCCATCATATTGTGCCAAAAACCGCCACGTGTCCGACGTAATTAAGTCATGCATGCTCTTTAATTGACCACTTACAACCGTATATATAGCCAATTTTTCTATTTGGTACCAAAAGTTTGATTATGGATGAAATGAGAGTGTGAGTAACTATTTTCACTAGTCCCTTGGGACGTTTGAAACTAGATGAATTCGAGACGTTTTCAAGATGTTATTTTAGATGTTTAATTAATCCCTTCTGTTTGTTATTGTCATGACTAGTGATTACTAATTCACTCTAGGGTGTGTGTCAGAGATGATAATCAGAATTCAGAACGGATTTTGATCGATGGATCAGTTTGTTATACATCACCAACACATTCAGGATTGAGTTAGCAGTTTGTGTAGGAAATTAAGTGTTAGGTTAGTGAAATTGTTAATTGTACCGTTCGGTTGTCGACGGAGAAGTAGTCGTAACAGACTTTTCCCTCTCTTTCTTCTCTCCTCGCCCAGTTCGAATATACAAGCTAGCTTTTTTTTCCTTCGTATAACTGTTACGATTTCACTAGCCGATTCTCAGATAATGCAATTTAGTTTTCTCGCTCTCCCTCTATTCACAATTTTAGGAGGGCCGAACTTCGTTCAAAAAGAAGGAGACAAATTCAGATGAATATACTTATAGATGATCATCAAGTTGATAGAGATGTGCCATTCCGTTGCAATGATTGAAATTAGGCAGATATCTGTGGAGACTGGAGAGAGGCAATCTTATATAATACTATTATTAGTGATGAAATTATGGAATTGGTCAATGGGTAAAATAAAATAAAAAACAGTAAAAAAATATCTGAAAGGTTGAACGCATGGCACTCGGCCATAAAACGCAGTTATCAATCAATTCCACATCAGTAGTCCAATGACAATACATAACAACGACCGGCGGCAAACTGTTGCAACAGAGATGTCCAAACAATGGTACAACAAGTATTCGGTTAACATCTTCTCATCGTAATAGTATCAATGTTTCTCCCTAATTAATTTATTTCGGGTTCGACAGACGAGAATGTAAGTTGTTAGACAAGTTGGTCGTTCTTCACATCTGTATATAATATCAGATTTTTTGTAAATCACGAGGTCAAGTGTCATAGAGAATTCGAGCAAACATTGACAAGTTTAGTTCAACCAAAATGGTACAAAGGCAAACTTCAAACTCACTAGATTGAACATTTACTTTTTTTTTTTTTTTTTTAATAAGAGTGATATATGTTTGAGTTTTAGTTAGGTGCTAGTTAGGAGATTCGAAGCTGGAGTTTCCAGATTCACGATCAGTAGTGGTAATTTCACTGGACAAAACTCTTGTTCGCGGCTAGACTTTAATTACTTGGGAAAGTGAATACGAGAATAATAGAGAAGTTATTGATGTATGGACCTCTTTCAAATTAAATATCACTCGAGTTATAACGATGTAATTCCTAATGATTGTTAGTACCAGTAATATGAATTCATCGTATGCACTTGAAACTTATTATTAACTAGGGTACATGTGTGACTACAGTTTGTTTCTAATTGTATTGGTATTAACTATTTAAGGCTAGATGTGAATTTGTTTCTCTATTGTTATTCATTGATTGATGATAATCATGGTCGAAGAAAAGTCCTTGAGTTTGATTTCACTTCCACTTTCTGTTAAGTATATTTTGGCCATCCATCTCCGGTAGTGGCGGAGGCTTAGAGGCGATGGTGGGGTTTAGTTTTGCCGGTTGGCGGAATTTTCTAAAGGATTATCGCACTTGTCATTTCTTAATCAGACCAAATCAAAAGATTTTAGTAATTAAAAAATGACCTAATAACAACAATAACTACCAACTATATAGCATACTTATGTTAAAAACCAGTTATTGTAATATCGTTAGGTTAATATCCTATTGATAATATTGTACGATTTTATTTTAAAATAACTATTTAAGAATGACAGAGAAGACCTACAATTCGTAAACACACCAATCATATACAAGAGTACTACCAATCCATTATCCATACTCAGAGTGAATATTTCTCTATTCCATGTTTCTATAATAATTTATGAACATGAAAAAAATTTATGATAGAAATTTAACCCTACATCCTTTAATTAAGTTGAGAACCAACAATATTACCTCTGAACCAAGCCTCGTTTATTTCGACAAATTCATTTTAAGTCGACTAAAAAAAATGTGAATATCATGTGAGTTTTGCTTTTCCTGTGTTTGGTCTTTTGTGTCTCCGCAATTTCCCACTTCCTTTCCATTTTCATTTCTTAATGTCTTATCAGCTTATTATCCATACTTTTAAGTTTTTTTTTTCTTTTTCCACGCCATTGCTAAGGTGGGAATTGTGGATAAACACGAAAAACTTTACATATATAATTAACTTAATTAGGATTTTCTACAAAAGAAAAAACTTAATTAGGATTTAGGAGGACCATTCATTGGTAGTTATACAAGCAAATCTAGTCCCTAAACCCTAACTAGTTATAATTAGCTTTACATGACTAATCGAACAACCCAATTGAGTTTTAAAAATATAAAACGAAAGCAAATCATTAACCGTTTTCTACGCAACATCGAAATACTCCACATTCACAATCAATGACTAATCTCGACCTACTCATCATATGAGATCCATTCTTATCGGAGTATCAAACCCGTGATCACGCCGTCCCACTTATATGTGGTGGGGAATTAATCAAGATTCCAATGCCGCGTCATTCTTCGAAATGTTGTTGATGAATCTCCCACTGTTTCCTTGTATGTGGGAGGCCTTGTTTTGCAAAGGTTTACAATGCAAATTAACTAACTAATTAATAATCATATATAGACCAATCTATTCATTTCACATACTGCCTATGTTTAGCTTTCTACAGTACAGAATTAAGATTTTGTCTTTGTGGCGGCCGGCCTGCAGGCAGAGGATCCAATTGTTGTATGTATATATGGAAGTGGAATGAATCCAAGATCTGCCAACGATTCCAAAAGTGTTGTTGTTGTTGTTACTGTTCTCTCAATCCCCTAGGAATGGCAATGGGGAGGTTCGGGGCGGGTATCTTGATACCCATACCCGCCCCATGGCAGGTCGGGTCCAGGTCGGGTAATTTATCACGGGGTGCGGGTAGGGGCAGGTCGACCCGTTGGGTATGTAATTATGCGAAAAACATTAGAAACATTCGTTATTTTCATTAAAAGACCAAGAAAGAAATCATAATATGATAAAATGTAGTTAAATTATTGAAGAAATTGAGGTTTTCACTTATTTACAACTTTATTATAGCTAAAATATAATGTAATAAGAGGAAAATCCTAAGTAATTTGACTAAGATTATATGTAATATAGGCAAGAACGCGTCGAGAATGGGGAGGGTCAGGGCAGGTCGGGTCGATGAGAGGTACCCATGCCCGCCCCGCCCCGCCCCGCCTACGGGGCGGGTTTGACCTGCTCCAAAACAGGTCAAACAGGTCAGGTAAATCGGGTCAGGTCGAAATTGCCATCCCTACATTCCCTTTCATATTTGATTTATTTCTGTCTATGTGTGTGGCTGATGTATAAATGGGTGGTCACTTCCACCGAATATTTATTTGACTTATGAAAATAGTTGTGGCTTGTGCAGTGAGAAAAAAGAAGATGGTCGTGAAGTGAAATTTCCATTATAGTGGCTAATTGCGCCACATATGTAATAGAAGGGGCTTGTGAATGTTTTGCTCGATTCATACAAGTTCTCGATATTGATAGATTATGACTAACGGGTTGTTTGCTTTGTAGATTTGAAAAATGAAAGTTTTTGTAAAATTTGAATTTTGTAAAACCATGAATATATGAGGGTTTTGAGTTCATTATGGACTTGAAAAATTATCATTGTTTGTTTGATAGATTTGGTCAATTAGATTTGTATGCATGAAGTGAAACTAACATATATTGCTCTCATTGGTATGAGAAGAAAGCGGAAATAGGAGAGGCAGGTTGATCATAAATGATGTATTTTAAAATTCCTGATCAATACCCACCTAAAGAGGTGAAAATTTTATGTAGCTAACTTAGCTTGTCGCGCCCATTTGAGCCCTGCCCGAAGACTAGACACGGAGTAACACTTTTGATGTACATTTTTCATACATGTTGTATATTGTTGTCATTAATATCAAAGATTTGACTATAGGATCATCTATGTGTGATCTAATTTTATCAATGGAACTTGGGACCTGAAGACCAAAGAGTACTTATATCATATGGTTCAGAATTTCAAGAATTTTTTGGTGGGTTTGGTGGGTCAGCAGAATTTAATAAGGTCTTGGTGTTTTTGGAGACTGCACTGTGCAGAGAAAGTGAACCGACAGAGAGAGCTAGCTAAGAAGAAAGAAAGAGTCATCAATGGCAGGTTTGAGATCATGGCAGCGGCAGCAGCAGCAGCAGCCACCCTTTTTTTCTCTTCACAGAAGTGGGTGCAGGCTGGAGGCAGCAGAGAGAGATGGTTAATTTGTTGTGGTAATTACTAATTACCGTTACCGTTTGCACTGCCAACCCACGGCTAAAAAGTAGTGTACAGCTGCAGCGTGGAAGCAAAATCATCACCACATGATTGGAACCCACATTAGTCAAGTGGAATTTACTGGGGAAAGGTAAAAACTTATCTGTTTTTTTTTTATAGAAAAATTTACTATGATGGAGAGTTCGGATTCATCATGACGGTCTACCTTTTCATGTGAGACCCAATTATGGAGAGTGGAGGGAGTTTAGTGTGTTAGAAACACGTTTTTTTTAAAAAAAATTATCACATTATTCAAATATAATATATCTATATAATATGATTTGAAATGGTAACAATGGGTGAATTGCAAACTTGGTCACCCATATTGCTCATTTATAACACTCTAGCCACCCAAATCAAAAACTATTCAATTTAGCCACTAATATTATACGTTTATGTCATATTTGGTTACTCGCCGTCTAGTTCCGTTAAGTCTGTCCTACGTGGCAGTCAACTATAATGTTTGACCGTTAAAAAGCTGATGTGTAAATAAAAAATAATAAAAATAATTATTTTGTATTTCATCTCACAATAAAAAATGTAAAAATAACTAAAAACCAAAAAGAAAGAACCAAAATCCCTCTATCTCTCCATCGTCGGTCTCGTCCCTCTCTCGCTCTTCGTCTCACAGGCATCTGCCACAAAAACCCTAGATCTACCCCGCATTAGCCAGAGCTCGGCCACCGAGCTTCGCCCCCTCTTACCTGATCGGACTTTGCTTGCCGTGCATTTATGGAGACGAATTGAAGTGCCAACGTTCATTCATCTATCCCAGTACGACCCCTTGGTTGGGAAGTTCAAAGATTTCTCCTCCTGTTCGCTCTCTCGATTCCTCATTGGCGCCGCTCTCTTTCGTTCTTGCCCATCTCCAAAAATAATTCCAACTCGGAGATTCCAATTTGAAGCAGCAGTAAGCTGCGGGGGGGGGGGGGGGGGGGGGAATTTGATGATGAATATGGATAGTCCTTCTGGATACAGAAGCACGGACGCCTCGCAGCCCTGGGTGGCGCAGAACTTGGCCTGCACGGACGCCTCGCAGCCGTCCACGTGGAACCCCCTGTACGCCGCGATGAAGGGGGCCTTGGACCAGTCCGTCTTCTCCAGGCCGCCGCGCGTCGCCCAGTCGTCGGCGTTCCACAGGCTGGAGTAGATCTTCATCGGCTGCTCGAACGGGAACTTCACCCCCAGGTTCTTCAGGTTCTTGAACACCCGGATTGGCACGTCGTCCACAAAGAACCTGCCACGTGCCCAAATAATATAATTCAGAGTTTGATCGTACGGTTAGGCAGGCTCTAGTGAACTGATAGATATATCGAGTTATTGACTGGTTAGTTAGTTAGTTAGTTAGTGATGTAATGAACAACAATTAGTAGTTATTGACTGGTTAAACTGACAGGATGGTAAACTTGTTGTTAAACATAGTTAGTAATGGTGATTAAGTAAGTGAAATAATTAATTAATAATAAATTAACTAGCTAGTTTTGCAACTTACGCAATGAGATAGTTGTTCCAGAGAACAGAGTAGGAATGGTAATCCTTGGTGGGGTCGAACCAGAGGTAAATCCTCTGCTCCCTGTCTCCCTTGCCGCCGGTGGACATGGATATGGATATGGTGGGGTCGAACCAGAGGTAAACCCTTTTGATGATGAATATGGATAGTCCTTCTGGATACAGAAGCACCATTGTTTCAGCGATGACCCTTTCTCTGCCTTTATCTGCCGATGGCAGCGTAAATCAGATACCATGTGTAGTTTTTGGCACCAAACGGAGACGAATCAACGATAGGTATAGGCAACGAAGCTTCGTTGGGGCTCCCGTTGCTTGAAACGACATGCATCCCATCCCGTTCATCGTCAATTTGGGCGACCCAACCACAACCCAGTTCAGGCGTCGGTGAATCGATGGTCGGCTGGGGGCGAATCAATGGTTAGAACTCCGGATGGTTGATGAATGGTGGTCTTGCGAATTTGCGATGTGAAAGGTGGCGAAGCTGGTGGGAGGAGAAGTCACCATTTTCTCGTCGGCGGTTGTGGGAGGAGAAGAGGAGAGTGGTGAAGAGCTTGCGGAGAAGTGAGGACTGAGAAGGGGAGATTTCTTTTAGCTTTTTCATTTTAATTTTAATTGTACTTTGATAAAAAAAAATCTGATTGGCGCCTATGTGGTTGTCACGTCACCACTTTAACAATCAAAGATAATTTTTGACCGCCACGTAGGACTCACTTAATGGAATTAGACGGCAAGTGACCAAACATGACATAAACGTGTAGTATTGGTGACTAACTTGAATGGTTTTTGATTCGGGTGGCTAAAGTGTTATAAATACGTAATATGGGTGACCAAGTTTGCAATTCACCTTGGTAACAATGGTTTAAATAGAAAAAGTAATTAAAAAAATCGATTATTTGTGAGATTGAATAAAAAAATCCGAACAAAAGAATCCAACTAGTAACTAAATAGACAATGAATCAATCAACTAGACTCACCTGAATAGGTTTATATATGAGAACTTAATTGCGTAGAAGATAGAAAATGATTCTAGAAGAATCAAACAGTATATCCAAATAATAGAGTAAACTAAATTAGATAGGGAAAATTGATAATTTTTTAGTCTAAAGCTAAGTATGGTACAAACTATTTATAACTGATTTAGTTATTTTTTTTCTTTTCTACTATCGGTGGCTTGTACATGATCTTAACGTTTAATAAATCAATGTAGATTGTTTAATTAATTTAGCATTACTGCCTTGTTAGGACAAACATATTAATTGACGAAGTTGAAATCTTTTTCCCACTTGGAAACCTGAAAATGAAAAAAAATTAAAGGAACAAATTTAATAATGCTAATAAGGAGGCATCAACAATTTTACCCCTTTTATTCTATTTTGGAAACACACGACAAAGAATGAGTTATGTTATGATTTGAAAAAAGTTTAATAAGAAAACAAGTATTCCCCCTCATGTGATCTGTTTTGTTCCATTAACCTTCAGACTTAGAATTTTTAATATTATTGTATTAGAGCCATAATCAAAACTCAATTCATAAATCTTCTATCGTTTTTAAATTCGTAATCGAAATCCAATAGTCCATAATATTAATTAATCATATACACAATGGAAGTTCTGAAGCCCTGTGGCGGAGGACCCGCCGACACACCCTCAGGGCCGGCTCTCATTTTGGTTAAACCCAACACGAATTTATTTGTGGCCACGTTCTCGTAATGCCTCGTACTAACAGAGTTACGGGGACACTTACACACATGCAAGAGAGTTTTCTTCTTCTTATTTTTCTCAATATTATTACTTGAATTTCATCCCTAGCTAACTACTTAGTTGATGGTAATGATTTGATGGAGGACGACGATTCATTAGAAGGAAGGAAATAGTATCCTGAGGGATTGGAATTTACTTGTGATGATATGGACTGAAATATCTATACCAAAAAAACACACGGCAGGCCGGCCAGTAATTTTGTCATTTTGCTTTGTTAATCCCCAAAACGGCACGTTGAAATCGCTAGCTACCGTTTGGTACAAAAGCCAAAAATTATTAAGGCAGTTTTTCGCTCATCTACAGACTACACCACAACACAGAAAGAGCTTTTGACATATATGATGCCTCAAAAGGGTTGAAAGTACTGCGTGTATTGCGCTGACCAACCTGATTTCGATGAAGATCTTAATTGATGAAAAAGTTTATGTGTTTGAAGTCTTGTAACTCTAATGTTAAACCGATCTCTTTAATGAATTGGCTTAGTTCTCGAATAAGATCATATTTTGGGCCTCGGCCGATCGGCTATAGGATGAACCAGTTCAAGGTCAAATAACAACGAGCTGAGGAAGAGAAATCATTAAAAAGATACAAAGTAAAAAAAAAAGTGGATAGTATTGATACGATCACTTGAATATGTTTGTTTATCTAGCCTATGATTATGTGTCTTTGGGATCAACAACTTATAAAATGTATCTATGTAAACCCTCTAACTTCTATGTAATCTATACTCATTTCAAAACTCATAAATCGGTCTCTCCTATTCTCAGACCAACTAACACACATCATACTAACAAATGATATAGCATAGTCATTTGCTTTCTTACTTTGTCGATTATTGTCATAGCATATAGAGAGAAAAACCTTCAAATCTCTTAGCGGGGGAGGCTCCATAACCCGCGCTGAATTGGCGGGGAGATCTTCCACAAGCAATGGTGGAGCCACTTGAGGCCAAGGTGAGTCATTTACACCACCTTGGTCCAAAAACTATCATAGAGTAAATTTATTTATGTGATTATGTGTTGAATTTAAATATCTCTATATTATTGGACGTAATTTTACGAAGAGTAATGTTTTGTGATAGTCTATTTAATTTTGAATTCTACGTATCATCAGATTGTTAAGGTCCCCCATCTATCTGTAACTTTAATTTCTGTTTGAATATCTCACTACCGCTTCCCTTTTGTTCCTCTTGCAATTTGCAAACTTCAACGAGAGAGAGTAGTGTGCGTGTTTATTGAGATATGCGCAGCCGCCGGTTTTATATGCATCAGCAGCTGCTGCGCTTTATAGCTAAAGCTAATTAATAATAACGTTGTTGCACGATAGGGCCACAGTTGCGAGCATGCGGCATGACCCCTAGATTCGACAGATTCGAAGTGATGCGGGTTTTAATTTAATGCGCGGACGATATCGTATAAATATGAAGTGTTCGGTTTTAACAAGTGAATATCAGGATCTGGTTTTGAGAGTATGGATCTAGGATGGTGGACGGCTGCATGTTATTCGGACTCTCACTGTTTGACCTCATATTAATTAGGAAATTAACGTTTGTTTTCACTTTTTTTTATAAGGGTGATTCCAGGTTCTAGTTAGTCTAGTGGTATTACCACTAGGTCAAACTCTTATTTGTTGAACATCTGCTTCCTCGTATCGAGATATATTTATGTTGTTGATAGATGAAATGAGATGGTTATGTTGGTGTGTTGAATTCGTTTAGTTTGTCTGCTCTTTTTTAGACCCTTTTTTTTCATTTCCCCTCGAATATTTATATTTGAAGTGATGTAGTCGAATGTATATGGGATGGGAGTGTGCAACTTTCCTTTTGGTAGTTTCCAAAAGCTTTTATATAAAAATTGAAATTGGTCCCCTCTCTTTGTGGAGCTAGCTAAGGTAGCCGCAAATCCGCAATATCTAGTGTCACCATCGCCTGATATTCTTGCGTTTGCATGCACTTCCCCCATATCTTAATCTGCCTTCATCACACCCACCTTTCTTGTTTTTGCTTTTCTTTTTCTTCCAATTCCATAGTGATGGTTTCAACTTTCTTCCCCAACCCTCGTTTTGTAGCAAATTTACATCTTTGTAGTTTGTACCCTATTCTTCTTATATGGTTTCATGTCTCCTCATACCGAGCCCGTTCGACTAAAAATATGCGAAGTTACTGATCAATAATTACAATTTTGTCTTATGTAATTGTACGAAACTCTTTCATAAATCACTATTTGTACTCTCTCGACACACAAACACCCTAGTGACTTAACTTCTGTCAAATAACGAGGCAAAAAAAAAAAACACCTGAAACCTTTGTGAATAGCAATCCCCACTAACCAATCACTAATAAGTAGTTTCACGAGCAACATGATTTGTCGGTCGATGTGTGTTTTAAGATTACATGTTTCTCTCGGTTACTAACTAGACCCAGATAAAATATTCTATCTAAGTTCTCAACATACGACATACACAAGTGTTGAATTTACTTAAGATTTAAGTACCCATATGAAAAAAAGATCAAATTATTAGAAATTTTTTACCATGCCAAACCCACATGGAGTTGGGACACTGGGGGTTGATTGAATACACATGGAGGAGTTAAAAGAGTAGTAGCCAATAGTACTAGAGTAGAATTCACGACTTCCCATCTTCATTCTGGCTGATTGGTAAAGTTTGTAACAATCATTTCGAGCCTTTTTTCTGTCTTTTGGTTGAAGTTGAACCATCTCATCGATGGTTGACTAATGCCATTTTGCATATGAATGATCAAGTTGGCCGACGCTTTTGAGTTTTGATTTCCCCACACCACCAGCTGTCTGATTTGTACGGCGGCGGGCAATCGGCTCCTAAACCACTTTTTTGTCGCCGCCGGCTGGCCGGCCGGCCCCCAAACAATCACACACACCGCCTTCATTGGGTCGCCGATCCAGCCCAGTCACAACAATTGCACATGGAATTTCAGTATTTCACCCATTACATTACACGGACTTTTTTTGCCATAACTCCTGTGGGCCGTGGGCTGCTCACATATTACCGGGCCCATTTGAAGGGAAGACTAAAACTCATTGCGTTTTGACTATTTACCGTTTCGTGTGATCAACTCAATCTTGTGTACACGAAGTGTATGCTTCTAAATCCATTTTTATTGCTTAGATTATTAGCTGTTGGTATAATTATTAGTTGTTAGATTAGTGTCAGTTTGTTGTTTACTGATATTATTAATTGAACCTTTTCGAGTTTGTAGGGATTGTTTGGGCAGAGTATTTTGTAGGGTTTATTCATCAATCAATAATAAACCAAATAAAAAACCCTAAGGCTTGTTGCCTTAAGCAGAAAATTTTCTTGACCGAACATAAGAATTTTCTTGGCGGTTTGTGACGAGGAAGAAGCAACACGTATAATATCACTTATTCCGATTGTAA